TTCCTGTTAGCAGCCCAACTCAAAGCCACTACACAGCCAGGGTCTCCTTTAGGGTCTCTTAAAAGAGTGGGTCTAATCAAAGCAGTGGCTTTTGAGAGTCCACTGGGCCAGTTTAATGAATGACAGGGATGCCGCCTCAGAAGTCTATTGAGACTGGTTTTTGGATCCCAAAGGGATAATCTTAATAGATTTCCTCAAAGGAGGTGGGGCACGAGGGTTGTTAGGAAGAGGTTTTACAAACCTTACAAACATTACAAACCACAATGATGAGTGAAAGTCAAGGAACATTATTCTTTTTTTCCCATCACTACATTCATAAAGAGTAGCAGGTATTGTCCTACAGGACTTTGGTTGGGAGGCCTTACCCTATCCACCCGACAGCTCTGATCTTGCACCTTTAGGCTTTATTTTTGCTCCTCAGTCTCAAACAATATTTGAAAGGAGCACAATTTACGGTGAGTTCCTTCAAAGTTGCCCCAAATGCGATCCTGAAATCAAAGAGTACAGAGTTCCTTGAGGAAGGGCTGGAGTGATGGAAACACTGCCTTTAGAAGTGCGCAGACCCAGACGGAGGATACAGCCAGAAACCATAGCTTCACATCCTTAAAAACCAGAAAACATTTTATTGATTTAGGTGAAAGTTTACAGAGCAGATCAGTTTTACATTCAATAATTCTTACCCATGTTGTTTCAACTCATCCATTACATCTGTTGTACCTGTACAATCATTTTTCTGAATTCCTTTTCTGATAATTCCATAGCTTGTTCAGTTTTGGCCATTTCTCTGAAGTCTTGGTGTCGTTCACTTATTTATGTCTGTTTCCCTTGCTTTTTTTGTGTGTGTATGTAGGGATCGATATTGTCTGTTGTTTCCTTGACATTTTGCGGTAGCTGTTAGGGGTAGCAGGGAGATGGGCTTGTGTAGGGGTGGTAACTCTGTTGAGTGATGTGGTAGAGGAATCATCATAGACACTTCAGAAGTATTGGGGAAGAGGTTGGGGGAGAGATCAAAGAATGAAAGGGAAAGTAATAGAGGGTGGGGGAAAAAAAGAGATCCAGTAGTGCTAATTAATGGAATCTAACAAAAGAGAAAATAAATTCCTTATTTTGAAAGAATGAATGGGTAATACTGATTGAAAAGAATTAGAAGAGTAGTGTGAACTTTTGAAGAAAAAGAGAAAGAGAAAGAGAAAGATTAAAGGAAAAAATAAGAAAAAAGGAAAAAACAAAGAAAGAAAAGCAAGAGTTGTGGGTGTCTGGATGCTCAGCTCTGCCCAGGAGCACTGTTGCTGATGCAGGCAAGAGAAAGATGTGTTTCCTGGAGAAGGGTGGGGAGCCCAGGTCAGTTCAGGACCAGCTGGAAGGATCAGCTGAGCAGTTAGTTACAATCAGTGTCTGTGGGTGAATGAATGACTCCACCTGGTCAGGGATTGAGGCGACTGGAATATGTTTATGCCCTACTGTGCCCTGGAGGCTACGGGGTCGGCAAGTCATCCCTTTCAATCCTCTCAGTGTACCAGCACTTATCGCCCTCTTTCCCAGTGTTGTCTGTTTTCATTCCTCCTTCTTTCTTAATCCTCTGTCCTTGGGTAAATGCTGCTCTTGGCCCCGAGGGGTTGATTATTGTAACACAGATGTAAGTTCAGACCTGTTGTTGATTATTGTAACACAGATGTAAATTCAGCTCCAGACCTAAAGGGTGATTAAGAGCCATGGCCTTGGTGGTTCCAGAAGTCTCTGTCAGACCAATAAGCCTGGTCTTTATGGTTTTGAGGTCAGTTTCATAATTTTCTTGTACTCTAAATTGGACCTTCAAATATAATCCTATACAGAGCAGTTGATAGTATTAATTGGGCAACATGTAGTTCTTCTGGGAATAGGGTTACGGAGTCTGATGTTTGTGTGATCGGTTAACTCATTGGACTAGTTGTTTCCGTGTGTCTTTCAATTTTGATCATTCTTCCTTCCTCTGGGTAGATAGCAACCAATAGTTAGACCTTACATGTTGGCTCACAAGCTTTTAAGACCCTGTTATATGACTCAATAAAATAGAATGTGGAAAATTGCCTTTGTGAACTATGCTATGCCAATTGTCCTTGGTGTTCTGCACACTATGGTACTGCACCTCCTTCCCTCTGGTGCTGGCTAGCTCTAAAGAGTTTTGACAACTTTGCAGCCATTCACTCAACCACATTCATGGATATATTTGCAGCAAAGGTAAATGCGCATGAATAAATATCTTCTGTCAAACCTATATATAGTCATGGACATCTTGATCTATATATATTTTTAAATAAAGATTCTGGCTTTGTGGCAATGAGTATGATTTTGTAGCAATACCAAAGTCTCACATATGGAAATGTAGGACCTAAGTGTATTATGTAATTTATTTTAGTGAGTACATAGACTTTGACTCCTTTTAAATTTTAATCCCTGATAATCTGTATCTGTTCATATATAATACGATGTACTGTGTCATAATTACATCCTGGTATGCCCACAAGAGCATATATAGTGTAGATTTGAAAATTATCTGGAACAAAGGCATATTTTCAGCTAGAATCAAATTGTGTAGTTATTATATTTGGAATCAATTAGAAAGGTTACAGTGGAATTCTTTTGTTTTTAATACTACGTTTCCCAGTGTTGCTTTAATGGATAGACCACAAGTGGTTAGTTTTAAAGGACAAGAGTTTATTTTCTTACCATTCTGGAGACTAGAAACCCAGATTCAGGACCCTAGCTCTAAGGAAAGGCTCTCATGGTTGACAATGGGGGAAGATCCTTGTCTTCCAGTATTCCTCAGCTCTTTGCCAATCTTCATGTGGAATATTCCAACTCCCTCCTTTCTGTGCTGTTTTCTTCTGTGTACATGCTGTTCCTTAAGGAGCCTTGGTGGCTTAGTGGGTTACTAATCGGGCTACTAATCTTAAGGTCAGCAGTTCAAACACACCAATTGCTCTGTGAGGGAAAGTTGAGGCTTTCTGCTCCCATAAATATTTACAGCTTTGGAAACCTAAGGAAGCAGTTTTATTCGGCCCTATAATTTCATAGGAGTCAGAAACTAGTCAATGGCAGTGAACTTGGTTTTGGTTTGGATTCTGAAATTCAGAAGTCATTAGACTTAGGACAAACCCTACATTGATAGGACTTCATTAATATTTTAGAACACACCCCACACTGATCCCAAACTTTCAATGCCATCAAGTCGATGCTGAGTCACAGCAACCCTGTAGGACAGGGTAGAACTGCCCCTTTGAGTTTCTGACATTGTAACTTTTTACCAGCATAGAAAGTCTCATTTTCTCCCATGGATTGGCTGGTGGTTTCAAATGGCTGACCTTTTGGTTGGCACCTCAATGCCTAACCAGTAAGCCTGGGCTCCTTATGCTGATAAGGCTTTATTAACGTAACAGAGAAAACCCTGCTCCCAAATGGGACCATACCCAGAGATAGAGGACTTGGGACTCAACAAAATTGGAAGGACACAATTCATTTCATAATATATGACAGCTAAGAGTTCATTTTAATGTGTGCATTTTCTTTTAGCCAGTTGGATTAAAACAATGAAGAAGCTTACTATCTTGGTTTTACTTGTGCTTACATGGTCATAGTTTTGAGATATTTTATAGAGGATAAAAATTTAGGTAGAGATTTAAGTAAATATTGATAAAATTGTCATTAGAGAAGTCGGAACTGCTAATAAAAACAGACTGTTAGGTAGCCAGAATAGGGACCAGGTTGTCTATTGGGCATGCTCCAAATTCAGGCTCCAAGCCAGGATGGGGAGTTACACCTGGGTGGGCCAGGTGAGCTTGATTCAGCCAATGGGGTCAACCAGTACCTTCAACCATGCCTCCCAGAGGAGGGCCCAGAAAAAGCCCGAATCCAAAGCCCAGGGCTCCCTTTTCCAGTTAGGCTGCGCTTTTCTCTGTCCCCAGTTTTCCACGCTTTCCTCTGTCCTCAGTTTTCCACGTGTGGGTGAGAAGTGCCCTGAGGGTGCCTGTGTAAAACCTGAAAATTCTTCCGTTCTTTAAAAACTCACTTGGATCACAAACCAGGCTTCGGAGTGAATTCTTTCTCTCTCGAAGCCAAGGACAGGTATTTCCACCTGAGAAACCTAACAATATTTCTTACAGGTCAAACTCACATATTTCACCACTGTCTCCATCTTACTGGAGAAATTTAATATGCAATGCCTTCTTATTTGAGAAGAGACCCCCATCTCAAATATAACTTAAGGAGAACATTTAGTAAGTCTTAAGAGAGACAACAACTACACAAAGACAGACATCATCCATATGAGGAAGGTCATTAGCACCAAGTAAAAGTGGTGTCCACGGGTGTGTTGAGATACAGTGCTCTAAAAGGGACCATGGAAGGGCAAAGGAAACTGTCACAAAAGCATGATTGGTGGCAGATCAATACAATTACAGGTGGGACTACAGAAGCAGGAGTGAGACCTTAATTGGGCCTGCCCATTGTTAGATACAAAGGCTTACTAGATTGCTCTGGGCCCTTCTGACCAAAGCAGTTGGGTGACACTAATGGGCCTGACTTCAGGACAGTGCAATGATCCAGGCCCCGCCCCAACCATCCCCAGCTCTATGACCTCCATCAAGGGCATCCAAAGGCAAGCCTCTAAGAAAGTCTGCTCCACCCCGGGCTGGGTAGAGGGGTGAAGGCAATCCACTGTCCCGGGCATTCTGCCTGAGGGCAAGATGATCTACATGCTCTGTCAAAGATCAGAAAGCGTTCAATGGAGGCTCAGAGCCAGGTAGGGGACTCTGCCAATGGACTTTGGGTTGTCACTACTGTTCATACCCTTTTGCAAACCAGGGTGCTCAGAATTTAAGTTGTAAAACACCTTGTATTTAAATGACAGCATACCTAGTCTTTTTTTTCAATGTAGTCATATACTCATGCCTTTTGTTTTCTTCCCGCAGACACCAAAAGATGAAAAGATATATATTAAAACAAACAAGAAGAAGATAAATATATCCTGACCACCTGGAGAGGAGCCTGCATGTAGTTTCATCATTCTGTCTACGTATTTATCCAGAAGCAAATGATTACTTCAATTCAGCCTCTCATCAACAAATAAATACTATTTGCATATTACAAATTAATCCCAGTGGGGACAGCTTATATTCATTATTTGACTATGATTTTTGATTAAAAATAATATTATCTTGCTCTTGCAGTCATTAGGGAATCTATGGTAATATAACCTGAGATTATATCTGTGGTTTTTAACAGTGTCATTTGTTATGTGGCTAAATACTTAATAAACAATGTGATGTGCAACAGTAATTGTGTCTGGAAATAATCTTTTATATTGTTCCAAATTGATTATTTTAATATTGACTTCTTTTAAAATACCCAATGATAGGGTGTCCTAGGATTTTTCATAAGGCCTCTCTATTCATCCAAAAATATTGAGTGCTTAATATTTGCCATGGAATATTCTATATGCATTAAAAATATGCATGTTTTAATTGAAGATGACTCCAAATTCTAAGGAAACAAATCTAGAACTGACAAAAATAGCAAGGGGGCCACATTTGACCTCTTCTGGCTCCCAAGACTTATTGCCTCAAGGCAGAGGTCCAACATGCCTCCACCCTTCATCACTTGGACCCCTAGTCCGACCACCTGTACCTCCCATGGCACTCATTCTGTGTTTTGATAATTCATTGCAATGGCCCTGCAGAACTCACAACATGAATAAAAATGGCTCATTTTCAGCCCAAATCCAAAGTAAAGGATGGGTATTAGGGTTGTGTTAGACAGGGTTCTCTAGAGAAACAAAACCTGAATGCTAATAATTTTATATATATTTATACAGATAGATATATATGAAATAAACAGATTATAAAGTAGTATAAATGGCTCAGGGCAACTCACTCCCGTGAGACAGTTGTGAGACACTGGCAGTCCTTCAAGTCTTGAGGGCTGCTGGGTAGTCCTCTGTAGAGCCATTCAGGCTATCTGGGCACAGGCAACAAACAGCGAGGCAGGTCACCAAGAGTCAGCCAGATGACAGAGTCCGACAGTCCCTAGCTCAAGAGATGTAAATTCCAATGGTGTGGTGGAGCAGGTCTTGAAGGAACCTTAAATTACAGCGACGCAGTCCACGGGTTAAGTGTCCCACAGGTAGTGTAGCTTGCAAATTGAGGCAAAGGACAAGCAAGGTAGCCACACACGGGTCTGATGATCAAAGAGCAAGAGACAAGAAGGCAAGGCTCATGGAGCCATTTATCTCTCCAACCTTCAATTAATCCCACATGTGTTTATCGGCCAGGTTGGCACAATAAACTAACTACCTCAAGGGTCCTTAATCAATAGGAGCAGTGGGGAATTACGTAATCCAGTCAGTGAGTGGAGTCTGGGGTGCTTAAGTTGCACCCCAGTGGGAGTTTTTGCACCTAACTATGCCTTTGAGCTAAGACTGCGAAGGGCTCCTGGATGGGGAACCAAAATAACCAATGACCCTGGGCTGATTTGGCTCCATCCATAAATATACTTTGGGCAGATAATTCACACCTAAGTTCCTGGCAAAAGTTTGCAGAACAGGCGGCAAGAGGAATGCTGCTTCGACAGCTGTATAAATGGGAGGCTGGACGATAGGTTGGTGACAAGCTTCCCCTAAATAGGGGAGTAATTTGGGTGGAGATTCTGAGATATCACCTCCTTGGGTCAGATGTAGGCCCAGTCGAGAAAAAAAGCTTATCTAACTTCTGTCTCGTTTCTTGGTACTCATGACAGTTCAGTCCACATCCTGGCTCGCCAGGTATCTCCATCACATACTGTCCAGGACCCAAATCACCCAACCCCCAAAACTTAAGAAAGCACTTTCTCTCATTTCCCTTAACAAACAGACTTGCAATGTTTGTTAAAGAACACTGTACTGTCAACAATGTTTTAAAATATGAATGTATTTAATAATTATTTTAAATTCAATGAGGTAGGCTCAGTTATTAGTCTCATTTTACAAATGAGAAGGAAGTACAGGGCTATTCAGAGACTCTCTGGGGTCACACCACTCATCGGTTGCAGAGTTGGAACTGGAGTCCAAGTCGTCTGACACTAGAACCGACCTACTCTGAACCACAAAACTATGCTGCTTGTTGCTCAGTATCAACCACTGCTCACGATAATTGGCAGTGAGGACATTGTAATTTGCACTGTTGTACGTATCCAAGAGGAGATGGGAAAATCAAAGGCTCAGAAGTGATAACGAAATTTCTCTCTGACAGGAAATTAAACAATTGTTAAATTCTCTTTTAGAGCTGAGATTCCAGTACTCACCAAACTCCAAACTCACTGCCATCGAGTCGATGTTAACTCACAGCAATACTACAGGACAGAGTAGAACTTTGAGCCCCGTGAGCTTCCCAGTTTACTGGAGTAGAAAGCTCCGCCTATCCCCTCCACACAGCTGGTGGGTTTGAACAGCTGGCCTTGCAGCTCAACGCTACATCACCATTCCATGAAAAAAGGAGAATTTCCCTTAAATCATTACATAAAAGTCGACCCCCCAAAGGGGGTGGATTATTTTTAAATCATAAGCTCTAATCAGGGCCACTAGTGTAAAGCAAAAGGAGGGCAGCCATGATGATAATATTAGTGATAATGAAGTTATAATTTATATAATGCTTACTGGGGGTCAGGCTCTGATCTAAATTAATTGATCTTCAGATATCAACTTGATTGAGCTCCCCACAGAGGTCGCTCGAGAGTATTGGAGCTGGGATTCATACCTAGAAAGGGGACCAAGAACACTGCTCTTAACACTTCACCACACAGCTCCTGTGCAGTGAGGCTAGAGACAATTCCCCTTATGATTTATGCAGTACGCCTGAAATGATCTTCTGACTTATGCATTGAATTCCTCCAATCCAGACCCACATGCATCTTACTTCTGACTAACTGCAGGACTATTGTACCCTCAAACTTCCTTCTGCTTTTTTCCCTCCCACTTATTTCAGGTGATGAAAGCTTTGAAAACATATTGGAACCAAGACACACTCAGAGAACTTCACTGAGAGGAAATTGAATTGAGATTTGGTTGCTCTAACTTTAACTCCAGTGTGTTAAGCTAGGTGCTCTAGAGCAGCAGTCTCAACCTGTGGGTTGTGACCCCTTTGGGGGTTGAACGACCCTTTCACAGGTGTTGCCTGATTCATAACAGTAGCAAAATTACAGTTATGAAGTAGCAACGAAA